CCTGGGGAATGGGGGTCCTCATGAGTGGGGTGGTCTTGAAGAGAAAGGATGCCCTGTGTAAAGTCAGAAGGAAGAGCAGTCCGAGAAGAGGAAAGAGTTGAGGCAAAGGCCTGGGGGAAAGAACGTGTTTGGTTTATTCAAGGGACAGAAGAAAGTGCAGAGTGGTTGGGGCTGAGGGAGCAAGGGCAGGATGTAGGCAGGGCTGCGTGAATAGCCAGGTGATAATTCAGTGCAGAGAATACACCACCCATAGGCACCAGCACTCCCGCACCAGACAGGTCCAAACTCCCCTTTGAGAGATCTGCTTGGTTTGAGCATCCAAAGGCACCCTTGCCACTTAAGACCAGAGACTGAGGGAACTAAGCTAAGCTGGAAGTTCAGATCATGCAGATGGCCCACCCCATCCCACCCCTGCTCCCTGACTTGGGAGGCTCTCTTCTCCCTACCTCCAAGTCTCTCCTCCATCCTAAGGGGGCCTGGCAGCTCCGGCTCTCGTGCTAATTGAGATGTGGCTGGCAGCGTGTCTGCAGTGACTGTCTCCTGGGCTGTGCTCTGCCCCTGTAGTCAGCCACCCATGCACTGGGCTGTGAAGCTGGGAGCTCATCTTGAAGAGTTTCTTCCTAGCTCAAGGCAGGCCAGCCAGGGAAAACCAGTGTCTTGGCTGAGGTCCTCTCCTCCCTCTGGGTGTCTGGAACCACTGACAAACCCTCAGCTCTCAGGATTGACAAAGTCTGGAGGCAGGGCAGGGGCACACAGACTGCAGCGTTCACAGCCACCACCCAAAGTGAGTGACACAAAAACGCTGTCTCCTGTGTGCCTATAAGCTGGACCCACCCCCTACACACACAGGGTCCAAGGAGAGGCAGGCATCCCCAGAAAAGGAACGCTGAGTTATAGTTGCTGGGGGTGAGAGGGCACTCCAAGATGCCCCATGAAATGAGCAGGCTGATAGGAGTAATCCCAGTTCGCATTACATACCCATTATGTGCCAGGCTTCACACCCAGCTCTTGACACTCAGAGCTCCTTACCTTACCCCACCTTCACTCAGTGAGTCTGAGACTCCATGAGTACCACCCCATTTTATAGATGAGGAAATGGAGGTTCTGAGAAGTAAACTCACAGCCCTCACTGCGCTAGGAAGTGGTTAAGGGGAGTTGGAGCCGGCCTGCTGTCTCTGCTCCATCTCTGCCTCCTTCTCAAGGCCTAGAGTCTGTGCTGACCCTCTGCCAAGGTCAAGCCCAGGTCAGCTGCATGGGATGCAAGCTGGGACACCATCTCTATGACTGATGAACTTACAGCCAAATTGCAGAGACTAGAAAGCACTCAGGAAATGATTCTAGAGGAGTAGAATGTGGGGCTGAGTAAGAAAGAAAAGCACATTGAACTTGGGAGTCAGACAGACATGGGTTGGGAGGTGAGCCCTCTGACCCTCAGTTTCCTTGCCTGTAAAAGGAGTCTCGGCCGGGTGCAGTGGCTCACGCCTATAATCCCCGCACTTTGGGAAGCTGAGGCAGGCAGATCACGAGGTCAAGAGATCGAGACCATCCAGGCCAACATGGTGAAACCCTGTCTCTACTAAAAAAAAAATAAAAAAAAATTAGCTGGGTATGGTAGTGCGTGCCTGTAGTCCCAGCTACTCGGGAGGCTGAGGCAGGAGAATTGCTTGAAACTGGGAGGTGGACGTTAGTGAGTGGAGATTGTGACACTGCATTCCAGCCTGGTGCCTGGTGACAGAGTGAGAGTCTATCTCAAAAAAAAAAAAAAAAAAAAAAAAAAGCAGTGTCATCCTGAGTCCTGCTCAAGGTGGTCCCTAGGAGGCCCTGAGTGCTGGCATGGTGCGCAGCGTGCCTTGAGCATTGCATGAGTGTTTCCTTGCTTCTTTCTTAGCATTATTTTTCTATTGCTCAAAATAAGTGCAGTAAGACTTTGGAGAAGGAAGGACTCCATGTGCCCTGGAATCATCAGGACAGGCTTCCTAGAGGAGCTGGGACCTAGGCCTCCACTGGACATGCTGCATCTGATCTCAGCAGAGCTGAAGGTGTCATCATTTTCCAAATAAGCCATTGTTCTGAGATTCGGTTTCCTCATCTGTAAATGGAGATGAGCGTAACTACTTTATGAGTAGATTGCACACATAGAGCTGTCCTGCAGGATGGAAGGGATTGCAAAGCCCAGAGATTTGGGTCCAGCCAGAGTTCTGCCACTATGGTGTTTCCCTAGGCAGGTCACATTTTGTCTCTATAATTTTGTCTCTTCATCCATCAAATGGAAATTCTGCGGGGGTTTTTTTAAGTCACTAGGTAAGTCACTTCACCTCCCTAGGACCTGATTCCTCATTGGTAAAATGACCTGGTTGTAGCTTTCCAAGTTTTTTTCCCTTGACTTTAGAGTCCCTGTGGCTTGGATTCTAAGCTAGGGCCCACCCTACCCCCATATCCTCTCCACCCGCTGTGCCAGCCAAGACAATGCATCCTTGGGGAACTGTGTTCAGGTTCAGAGAGAGAACAGAAATGCTTCTGGACCATATCCTCTTTCCAGATGGCCGTTAAGAGAAACAAGAAGGACAGGTAACACAGAGGAAGAAATTGACCTTGGAAACACTGCAAAACATAAGCCAAACTCTCCCTGCTAGCTGCTGGCAGGGTCCCCCCACCCCGGCCCTTGCAGAGGCACTTCAGAGCACGTCCTGTCTCATTTGGGGCAGGGCTGGCCAGGATGCTGGTGCAGCCCAGCCCCAGCCTGGGTCGGGTGCTCTGACCACAGCCCGGTCACACATAAGGGCAAGCAGAGGACTGTTTCTGATCAATGGTGAGGAGCCAGCGACAGGTGACAAAACCTGGTGAGCATGAGCAGCCAGAAATGGGCCCTGGGCTCCTGGGCATGGAACTCTCCCCACTCTTGGTCTCCCACTTCCTGGGGTGCATTACTCTCTTACAGCCCCACCCTACACCACCACCCTCGTGCAGTGGCAAACTCAACACCGTCCCTCCCACCCAGACAGAGGTCTACACCTGGGGCGCCGTCAGTGGGGTGTTAGGGTTAGGTAATTTGCCAAGTTCAGGGTTGGGGCACTTAGCTTTGAGCAGCTCCCGCTATATGGAAGGCTCCTCAGAGAAGATCTGGAGACTTATGGCCCAATTTCCCTCATCTCTAGAACAGAGATCCACTTTCTATGGAGCTCTCTCCCATGCCTGCCCCACCATTCCTTCCAGCATCACCTCCTTCTCAGGAGGAGGGGGAAAGGCCACAGGAGGAAATCGAGGAGGGTGGGCAGGAGTCAGCTTGGGGGTCAGGAGGGATCAGACGGGCACAGAACCAGCTGATGGGGCTGCACACACCAGCCCAACCCTCTGTCTGCCCCTTCCCTCCTCCTCCTTCCTTCCCCTCATAGATGTTAACTAAGCAACTGCTACGTGCCAGCCCTGTTCGAGTTCCTGCACATGCATAGCTGCCTCACACTCAGACTCTGCACTCTGGCCTGCTCTCCTGCTGAGGCAGAGGGACCCTGTGGCAGGTAAGAGCAGAAAGAGCTCCTCAGCCTGTGAGCCTGGCCACTGCCGCTATTTTAGAAATGTGATCGCTAAGGGCCTGACAGAAGCCTTTCCCAAAGGCAACTCTCTTGGGACCAAGGCTCCTGCCTGCTGAGGCAGAGGAGGCCCTGGCCAGGCAGCACGAATTCCACGTAGGGATGTCTCTGGGTCCCCTGCCGTGCACCCAGCACTATGTCGGACTGTGGGGACAGGGAGTGAATCAGGCGTGATCTGGGAATGAGGACGCAAACACACACAGAGCCAACTCACCCCTTGGTGCCTGAGGGGCTGCCCCAGCACTGGAGGCACTTAAGAAATGTCCAGCGACCTTTCACACCAAGGAGGGCACAAAGTACTGCTGGCTTGCTCTGGCTGGTGCCTGCATGGCGACATAGAGCCAAGAGATGATCTGTTTCTGAATCATTAGCTTCTGAGTCAAGGGAATGTGGAGGAAGAGTCTGGCGGGGGAAGGGGGGACATCGAGACACTCATTCAGTGGCTGGGTGGCCCCCTTCCATTCAGCAGCCCTACCTGCCCCCTCCCCAGCTTCCCCCTTTCCCAGCACACTCCCACCAGCACCGTACTGGGGTCCCTTTACTCGGGGTTCAAAAGACCAGAATACAAACGATGGAATGACAGGACAGCAGAGCAGAAGAGGGGTTCAAGATAGAATAGGTCTTGCAGGGTCCCTGCCACGTGACAGCCCAAGGGTATCGACAAGCCTTATGGTGAGCATCCCAGTGCTGAGGTCAAGACAGGTGCAGCGCCTTGCCCAAAGTCACACAGCAGGAAGGGGCAGCACTAGGCCCAGAGCCCCAGTCTCTGCTCTCATCTCAGACTCCACCCACCCTTCCACTCAGGTGGCCTCCCCTGAGTGGTTTCATACACTGGGTGAATGTCCAGGCCTGGTGTTCCTGCGGCTCAGAGAGTGCCTGGTGGGGTGCGGGGAATGAGAGGGCGCAGAGAGGGAGCAGGAGAAAACAGAAAGTGCCAGTGATTCACATTTCGAAATGTCGTGTTATTCCAGGCGCTTTCTCGCTTTGCCACCACCTTCATCCACCCCCCACTTGCCATCTTGAGAACCGGCTGCAGGGTGGCTGGGGCGGGGGAGGAGGCTGAGACCATATCCAGGGAAGCTGTGTTTCCACCCTGCCCACTGAGAAGCCCGAGGGTGAATGAGCCGTCGGCTGAGCATCCAGCTGGGAAGCAGCCAGGGCACCAGCCCTGGCTTTGGCACTGGTTGCTGTGACACCCTGGGCGAGTCCCTAGGCCTCTCTGGACTTCCTTTACCTACGTCCCCAGCACGTAAGACAGGGAAGTGGGAACGGTTTGTGGCTCTCATGACTAGCTGCATATCAAAGCGAAACAAACCAGATTCTTGGGCTGCACCCCCAGAGATTCTGATTCTCTGTATTAGAGATGAGGCCCGGGAGTCTGATTTTAAAGCACGCCCCTAACCCCCACCCACCCTGGTGATTCAGTGCAGTCAGTCTATGGAGGCGTGGTTAGAAAGCTCCTGGCTGTGTGTTTCCATGTAGTTTCCATTTATCTCCAGAACTTATTTGCCTCCTCCAAACTGCCCTCCTGGATTTACCCAGCCCTACTTTCCACATCTAACCGTCCTCACTTCTGGTCCTGCCCCCCTGCCCATGCTCTCTTACTGTTCCTCAAAAGCATTTGGTCATTCGTGCCTGGGTGTGCACACATGCATGTGTGTGTGTGTGTTCTACGTGAGCTCAGCAAGACGAACCTCCTACACAGCACAGAGGAAGTTGCTTGGCATTGGAGCGAACTAGCCCCACATTTGGAACTGGACTCTGCTGCCCAAGGCTGGGTGACCCTGGAGAAGAGATGTAGCCTCCCTGAGCCTCCATTTCCACCTCCCTTAGAAGGCCTAGCCAGACCCTGCCTCACAGAGCCACATGCGAGGCTCCCCTGAGGTGGCATACAAAGCACCTGCCGTGAGGCCTGGGAAGGGGTGTCAGCGGCCAGGAAAGCAAGCCGGGGGACTCTCCCAGAGGGACGCATGTTACCGTGGGTGGTCTGGATCCCTTCCTTCTGGCGTGTGCCTTTAGGCAGATGGTCATCAGCATGGGTCCTCAATAAAGAATGGGTCCACCCCAGTGTCACTCAGGGTCCCCATGGAAAGCAGAATTCCCCCAGGTGGCTCAACTGAAGAGACACAGATGGAGGGGCTGGTGACTGAGGTGGCAGGAGTAAGGAAATCCGAAAGGGATGGGGAGGCTCCTGGACTAGAGCAGCTGACAGCTGCCCCCAGCCCAGACCTGCAGGGCAGGGCAGGATGGCATGGCCAGAGGCCAGCAGGAGTGGGAGCCATGGAGGAGGGCCGCCCCACAGGAGCACAGTCACAGAGGGAGGCAGCCCTTCCCAGAGACATGCATCCCAGAGGCAGAAGCAGGGGAGAAATAGCCCAGCTTCTCTCTCCTCCCACCATTGCTTCTCATTCTGGTACCTCCCGCCAGCCAAGCCCAGGCAGTGGCCAGAGAGGCAGCCCCGAGAGGTCCCCTCCTGGGGTGCAGAGCAGGGCAGAGAAGCAGAGACAGTCTGCCTGGCAGGTTGCAGTGAAGAGCAGGGCAAACAAGCAGCTCCTTGGGCAGCCTCTGCTGCCTGAGCATGGGAGCGGGGCCTGGCTCATCAATCAGAAGACAGGTTTGAGCCTCACCTCTACCACAGACACAAAGGGTGACATCAGGAAGTCGCTTCACTCCAGGCCTCCGTTTCCTCATCCTTAAACCGTTGGGGTTAAACTGTCTGTCCTGAGCCACCTCTTCCAGGCCTGACCTGCACTTCTCCTCCCCTGCCTTTTCAAGAGAGGAGAGAACCCTGCTGGACAGGAAAATGGGCTTGGAGAGGAGGGAGGCGTAGCAAATGGAAAATTCATTCTGGGCGGTAAAGAGCAGAGGCTGTTGTTTGTGATGTATAACTTACTCTTTGTGTCAAACTGTGTACTGTGTATATCAGTGGGATGGCAAGAAAACCGAGATCTATTACTTAGAGTTTAATCTGTTCTCCGTGTTGGAGAAGAGACAGGGAGGGGGAAAGAAGACTACAGCTTTAATCACAGGCCCGACTCGACGTGTCAAGCTGCTCTCGGGTGTGTTAGTAAAATGATGTCGGATCACAGGCTTCCCAGACAGCTCCGCACACTGCGGCTTTATCTGCCGAGCCGTAAATCAGCACACCTACTTTACGCTCTTCAGGTAAAACCAGTAATTTAGCTGAAAAATACACACACGCACACGTGCACACAGAGCATGTCGGGGAGAGCTTGGGAGAGGGGGCTGCCCCCCCCACCCCCGCCTTGAGCAAGAAATAGCTAAAAATGAGCAAACCGGGAGGAAAATGACACCTCGGCTGTGCCTCCTGTCATTAGCGCCCGGGCTCCTGGTGCCAGCCCTGTAGCCAGCCCACCTTCCTTTCTACCTGTCTCAGTGCCTCCCCGACCCCCACTACCCCTTTTCACCATGAATCGTAAATTACATGCTGACACCTTTAATTTGTGCAAAGTATGCCTGGCTGCGCCTGGCACCAGCAGCCGGCTGCTATAATAAGGTCAATCTATATTCATTGTCGCAGCACTTGATGTGCCAGATAACACAGGGAGGCAGCGCAGTGGTGGCTTCTCCGGGCTGGGGGGTGAGGTGGGGGTGCCCATTGCCGCTCATCGAGGCCTGGCACCAGTTGGCTCATCACTTATGCATGGCATGAGCGATGTTATGATTTAGCTAATCACCATCAGTTATTCATCCGATCGCTGCCTAGAGACGACAGTAGCACACGCCTGCCTGCCCACACCAGAGAGGTAGGCCCCTGTCCACACAATGCCACAGAAAGTGCACTCAGTGGGTGTGATTGTCCTTTCTGGGGAGGGGCCCCAGGAAGGGAATAGACCAGGATTGTAGACTCCTAGGCTTGAGGAGGAGAAGCTGCTGAGAGTGCCCTCTGGGTAGTGTGACTGATGGGATGTCTCTGGATCCTAGGACCCGGCCAGGAACGGGCATCTCACTGACACATCACATGGCAGGAGCACAGGCTTCGAAGTCACAGAGTTCTGGGTTCTAATCCCCACTCTTCCACTTCCAAGTTGTGAGAACTTAGTCAAGTCTCTTAACCTTTCTGGGCTGCAGATTTTCAACAGCATAACAGGGAAACAACTCCATTCCTGGCAGGAAGTGTGTGCAGATGCAAAATATGGAATGTGTCTGACATAGCAGGCACTCAGTCAATCATAGCTGCCAGCATCAGAGCCCCGGTGGATCTATCACATGCATGGCTGGGTGAACGTCTGCTTTCCATGGGGAATGCAGATCTAAAAGGCTCATGAGGGCTGGGGCTGGGACCAACAGGTGAGTCCATTTGAGACAATACCCCCCGGCATAAGGCTATGATGAGACAGGTCTCAGCTTCTGACATGTTTGAGCAGGAGGAGATCCACGTATCAAATCCATGGCTGGGGAGGTTCAGAGGCAGGCACGAACCAGGTTCTCAGCCTCGAGCAGGCGCTTGGCGGCCCCAGCTTATAGAGCTGAAGGGACTTGGAGATCGTTCAGCCCAACACTTCATGCTAGAGATTGGGCAACAGAGGCTGAGCGGGAATTGACTGGTTCAAGGTGGCCCAGCCAGCGAGGGGCAGGGCTGGTGTCCTGGCCTGGGCTTCTGACTTCATAGCTCTTCCTGCTGTTCTGCAAGGCAGCCCTGAAGAGGGGCAGAGGGCCATCAGACTTTGAGGGGATGCCCTTGGGATCATCTGAGCCTTCTCTCTTCTGGATGCTCAGTCAGGACGGCACAATGCATGCTCCTAGCTCTGTCCATAGCCCTGCAGGCAGTGAGAGGGATGGGGTCAAACCCTCAGCCTTCAGTGGCTCCTCAGCTTCCTTAGCTACATAATAGAGCCAAGAGGGTCTGCTCCTGGGAGCTAATGAGAAGATTAAGTGAGACCACCTGGGCAGACCAGATGAACACTCTTTCCCTTCCAGCCAACAAGCTTAGAGTCTAAAGAAGGTAGCTGGGCTGACAGCAGCCTAAGGGGTCACCTAAATCAAGCTGTACAAAAGCAGTCAAGTTGAACGGTTAATTCTGCAGCCTGGAAACAGACTTGGGAAACCCCTCACTGTCCCAGCAACATGCTGGCTCTTCCACTGCCACCCCTTTGTCCCTTCTATTCCCTCCCCGAGGAAGGCCCTGCCCATCCTCACAGCTCCCCAAATCCAGCTCATCCTCCCAGGTCCTGCTCAGATCCGCTTCCGCTAGGAAGCCTCTTCTCTCTCCTGGGCATGAGCGATGCTCTCCCCACCTGCAGTCTCCACCCCTTCCTGACCCAATGTGGGGCTCCCTCTCTAACCACAAGTGATTAGGCCCCAGATTAGAAGCACTGGGAGAGTGAGCCATTATTTTAGAGCTAAGCAGCCTTAGGCCACTCCGGGTCTCTCTTCCTGGGCAGTTTCCAGCAATGTTTGGGCTCTGAAGGGAACATAAGGGCCAGGCCAATGGGCATCTCTATGGAAATTGGCACCTTTAGGCTGAGTTTCCTCTGTCTCTGGTATTCATTTAAAGAAATGCAAATGTTCTCGCCAACCTGGGCTTATGCCCTGAGGTGTCTTCCCATTGCAAGAAGGTAACATCCCTGTCCCACCTATGCCCAGCCCCTCTCTCCTCCTGCCCCTGAGGCCAGCCCAGGGCTGGTAGCTTTGTGCCTCTTCCCATGTATCACAATTACCCACACACCTGTGCCCTGGGTGCCTGCCAAGCTGCGGCACAGTGACCAGTGCTCAGTCACCCTCGAAATGCGTTTAATCTCTTACCTGCAAAACTTGGACAGCGTGGAGGGCAGAGCCTCCCACCGCAAGTGAGGCCATCAGCCTCCTACTACCAACTGGTGGGTCTGCCTGGCTGGGCACTCCACGCCCATCAGCCTTGCACAGCTAGAGAGCTCCTGCAAGCCCAGGGTGGAGCCCACACACCTCATCCTGTAGCATCCTATCACCCACTCACAAGTGACCGTGACCTCGTTTTGCTTCTGAGGAACTGGAAACCACAGGGATGTGGGATCTAAGCCTCCCACAGAAACAGACGTCCAGCCTCCAGGAATAGCACCCCATCTCGGTGCTGCAGGCTCAGGCCCTATCATCACAAGCAGCCCATACCCTCAGCTTCTGTTTTGAACTCTTGTCCTAACTGACACTCAGCTGCCCACAATACGCCAGTTCCCCGTTTCCTCTCCCACACCCCCACAGACCCTGCCATTGCTTTTCCCAAAACATTTGCCCTCCCTTATCCCTTTCAAAGCCCCATCCCCTCTGAATCCATGTCCACAGACTTGACCTCTCACCACTGCCCATGGGTTGCACCTCGCATTCATCACAGACTCAACTGACACATCTGCCCCGTCTTCCTCCCCACCCCATCCTGTCATCAGTTTTGGTGACTTTAACATCCACTCTGCAGATCCACCCAACACTGGGGCTTCTCTGTCCCTCTACAGGTTGGTCCAGCCATTTGTCCTCCTCCTCCCCACCTACTCCCATGGCCATCACACCTTGTACCATTGTGAAAACTGCGCCACCCACACGGTCTCCACTTCAAGCATCCCACCGGGTGACCACCTGTTATCCTTCCAGATGACAAGCAATCCCTCCACCTCGCCAAGCCCTCCCACCCCTCACCCTCTTCTGTCACCACCGCCAGCTCTCTGCCATTACATCCATCTTTCATCTTCTCTTCTCCCCTTACTTCTTCAGACTTAAAGACCGTGTCCAACCTTGGTTAAATCCAATCACCCACCTGCTCAATGCCTGCACCCACGCAGCAAAATAAAGGTAGAGAAAAACAAACTGGCTTCCTCTAAATTCATAGCCTGGCATCTCAACCGGGCCCCGCATTGCTCTGCAGCAATGCTACAGTTGTCTTGTGGCCTAGGTGTGCACTTTCCTTCTCTAGAGCAACTCTCTCAGCCTTTCTCCTCTCCCCACACCCCTCACCACCCCAGCCTCACTTGCCTCATGCTTTGTTCAGAAAACACTATCAATCACAAAGGTCATCTTCCCATCATGAAAGCTGGCAGCCTGCCTCCTGCTCCTGTGGACGAAGGCCACTGCTCTGCCCAAGGCCATTCCCTCCAGGTGGGTCTTGGATCCCACTTCTGTCACCTGAACCATAGGTACCTCATCTTTCTGCACATGCCCTCCTCCTTCTCCATTAGGTCATCCACAGCAGGCTTCTTCAGGATCTCCTGTAATACACGAACAGCTCCATTGGGCTCCTCTTCTCTCTCCAGCTTCCATCTAAATGTTCTGCTCCCCTTCACTGCAAAAAGTGTTCAAAAAATCATCTGTGGTTCCTGCTTCCACCTTTTTGGTGGGCATTCTGTCCTCATGGCTTAGCTGACTCAGCATTTATCATGTCACCACTGATCCCTGTGTGTCCAGTCCACGTTCTCTTCCTTTCACTTGACCTTTCAGCAGTGACTGATGCAGGACCTCTTCCCACTTCTTATCGTGCTTTGTGTATGACCTCCACTCCTTTCTCTTCCAGGTTTCTTCCTACTCCCTGTCCGCTCCTTCTCAGTCTATCTGGCCAGTTCTGCTTCCATGTCCAACCCTCTGTGTGCAGGATAATCTCAGGGCAAATCCACGGACTTCTTTCTTTTCTTCTTTCCCAATGGTCCCAAGATAACTTCATTCCATCCAATTGCATAAAATCCAGGTCTCTGTCATGACTGGATGCCTCCATCTCCAGTCCTCGGCCACTCCTTGTGTATTCCACTGTGGGAGTGGATTCCACTGTGGGAGTGGATTCCACCATAGGAGTATATTCAACTGTGGGAGTAGATTCCACTGTGGGAGTGGATTCAACTGTGGGAGTGCATTCTACCGTGGGAGTGTATTGAACTGTGGGAGTATTTTCCACCATGGGAGTGTATTCAACTGTGGGAGTGTTTTCCACTGTGGGAGTGGATTCCACTGTGGGAGTGGATTCAACTGTGGGAGTGTTTTCCACCGTGGGAGTGTATTACATTGTGGGAGTGTATTCCACCGTGGGAGTGAATTCAACTGTGGGAGTGTTTTCCACCGTGGGTGTGTATTACACTGTGGGAGTGTATTCCACCACGGGAGTGTATTTAACTGTGGGCGTGCTTTCCACTGTGGTGTATTCAACTGTGGAAGTGGATTCCACCATGGGCGTGTATTCAACTGTGGGAGTGCATTCCATCGTGGGAGTGTGTTCCACTGTGGTAGTGGATTCCACCGTGGGAGTAGATTCCACGGTGGGAGTGGATTCAACTGTGGCAGTGCATTCAACTGTGGGAGTGCATTCCACTGTGGGAGTGGATTCCACTGTGGGAGCAGATTCAACTGTGGGAGTGTTTTCCACTGAGGGAGTGCATTCCACTGTGGGAGTGCATTCAACTGTGGGAGTGGATTACACTGTGGGAGTGCATTCCACTGTGGGAGTGCATTCCACTGTGGGAGTGCATTCCACTGTGGGAGAATAACTAGGAGCCATCTCAAAATTAATACATATGGCCAAAATTAGACTCTTGGCTTTTCCTTCAAACTTGCTCCTCCTCCCTGCTCCCTAGACTTCCCACCTCTGTCAATGGTACCACCACCCATTCATGCTTAAGCAAAATATCCCAGAGTTATCTCAAATTCCTCTCTACATCCCACACACCCAAGCATTCAGCAAGTCCCTGACAATCCCACCCCCAACACACACCCCAGTCTGTCCACGTTCCTCCATCTCTTCACAGCCACCCCAATCTGGGCCAGCACCACTTCACTGTTGGACTAAAGTCTCACTCCTGGGCCTCAGTGATGCCCTCCTCTACCTGCAGCATCCACCCCTTCCTGACCAAAAGTGGGGTTCCCTCTCTAACCACAAGTGATTAAGCCCAGATTAGAAACACTGGATGAGTGAACCATTATTTTAGAGCTAAGCAGCCTTAGGCCTCCCTGCTTCAGTACTGCTCATCTGAAAAATGGACAGGCAAAGGTGGTGTGGTGTATTCTCTGTGGCCCCAGGCATCATATTCCTGGGCAATGTTTCCAGCAATGTTTGGGCTCTGAAGGGACCGTGAGAGCCAGGACAATGGGCATCTCTATGGAAACTGGTTCCTCTAGACTAAAGGAGGGTGGACCCTTCAGACCAGGTCCCTGCCTTCACTATTTCCCTCCTACTGCCCTCACCAAGCAGCAGCCAGGGTCAGCTTTGTATAATGAAAATCAGGCCATGCCACTTCCCTGCTTAAAAGCCTGCAGTGGCTTCAAGTACCTTTTGACTAGAATAGAAACTTCTCATCCCGCACAGGGTCCCCAGTGCCTACTCCCCACCTGCTCCACCATCCCTGTTGTGGCTTCTTCCTTCCTGCTCACAGGGCATCAGCTGCAGGCATCTCATCAGGATTCCAGACAGGAGGACTGGGAAGGGAAAAGGGCAAAATGGGGCCTGCCTGGGAGCTCATCCATTTTCTTTCTTTTCTTTTTTTTTTTTTTTTTTTTGGACTGTAATCCAATATAACTTATATCCTTATAAGAAGAGGAGTTTAGAACACAGGTGGATACAGAAGGAAAATCTTATGAAGACACAGGGAGAAGAAGTCATCTGTGAACCAAGGAAAGGGCTCTGGAAGAAGCCAATTCAGCTGATACTTTGTTTTTTTTGTTTGTTTTTTCTTTTTTTTTTTTTTTGCTTTTGATAAAATCTAATATATCTTCTTTTTTTTGGACTGGAGGTTTCAGTGGGACAGGAGAATCACAAGGAATCAGGCGTTCAGAGGAATGTATTGAGTAGAGGTGAGGAACTAGGATGTTGAAAAGTAAAAAAAGGAGAGAAGGAGAGGAAGAAAGAGGAAGAAAAAGAGGGAGAGAGAACAGGAATATATTGCTTCATTCTAAAAATGGGTATTAATAATGGCCAATCAATATTTTGTGTATTTAAAATGGAAAGCTCTATAAATATTTATTGAGTTTACTTGTTCCAGATCTGAGTTGAAGTCCTGGATGTCCTTATTAATTTTCTGTCTCGTTGAGTCTAAATCTCGTTATGGGTCTTATGTATCTGGGTATTAAGATCTCTTATTGTTGCACTGATCCTTTTACCACTGTATCTTTGTTGCTTTGAAATCTATTTTATCAAATGTGAGAATTGCAACTCCTGCTTTTTGTTTATTTATTTATTTTCGCTCTCCATTTGGTTGGTAAATTTTTCTCCAACTCTTTGTTTTGAGTCTTTGTGTATCTTTGGATATACCATTAGGTTTTGGCTGTATCTTTTGATTGGGGGATTTAATCGATTTAAATTTAGGGTTACTGCCATTTGATGTTAACTGGCTATTTTATCCATTCGTTGATGTAAATTCTTCTTTATGTTGATGCTCTTTACTTTTTGGTATATTTTTAGAAAGGCTCATACTGGTTGTTCCTTTCTATGTATAATGCTGCTTTCAGAAGTTCTTGTAAAGCAGGCCTGGTGGTAATAAAATCTCTGAGTACTTGCTTGTTCATAAAAGATTTTATTTTTTCTTCAATTGTGAAGCTTAGTTTGGCAAGATATGAGATTCTAGGCTGAAAGTTCTGTTCTTTAAGTATGTTGAATATTGGCTCCCACTCTCTTCTGGCTTGTAGGGTTTCCACTGAGAGATCTGCTGTAAGTCTAATAGGCTTCCCTTTATAGGTAACCTGGCCTTTCTCTCTGGCTGCCCTTAGTATTTTCTCCTTCGTTTCGATCCTGGTGAATCTAACGATTATGTGCCTTGGGGTTGCTCTTCTTGAGGAATATCTTTGTGGTGTTCTCTGTATTACCTGGGGTTGAATAGTGCCCTGCTTTGCTAGATTGGGAAAATTTTCCTGGATAATATCCTGAAAAGTATTTTCCAGCTTGGATTCATTCTCTCCATCACATTCAGGTACACCAATCAAACGTAGATTGGGTCTTTTCACATAGTCCCATATTTCTTGGAGACTTTGCTCATTCCTTTTCATCCTTTTTTCTCTATTCTTGTCTTGTCATTTTATTTCATTAAGTTGGTCTTCGACCTCTGATATCCTTTCTTCTGCTTGATCCATTCTGCTATTTAAACTTGTGCATATTTCACTAAGTTCTCGTGTTGTATTTTTCAACTCCATTAGTTCATTTATATTCCTCTCTATATTGTCTATTCTTTTCAGCATTTCGTCAAACCTTTTTTCAAAGTTCTTAGTTTCTTTATATTGGGTTAGAACAAGTTCTTTTAACTCCCAGAAGTTTCTTATCATCCACCTTCTGAAGCCTACTTCAGATAATGGAACACAGTCCTTTTCCATCAGGGCCTGTTCCGTTGCTGATGAGAAACTGCAATCCCCTGTAGAGGGAGAGGGGTTCTGATTTTGGGTATGCTCGGCCTTCTTAGGCTGGTTTTTTCCCTTTATTATAAATTTATCCATCTGTCATCTTTATAATTACCGCCTTTCTAATTAGGTTTCTCAGTCGACGTCCAATTTATTGATTCCCAGTGCTGGGATTCAAGCAACCCACTGCGCCGACCAAAATAGCAGCGATAAGACTGATGGTGCTCTTCTGCCCGGGAATCTCTGGTCTGGCTTCCTTCTTGAGTCCGCAACAAGCGGCTCTGCCTTCCCGGAGCTCCAAACACTGGTCAGTAAGGGAACCAGTCCCGTTTACTCTGCATGAAGAGCTGCCGCGCCAAGGTGCCGGCAAAACCGCTGCGCTGGCCACAAAAGTCATGCTGGTGACCCGTGGGGCTCCTCCACTAGAAATCTGCTGGTCCGTGAGTGACGAAAATTCATCTGAAAGTGTGGCATCCTCTCGTTCTCTGAGCTTTCACTGGGAGCTACAATCCTGAGCTGTTAGTGATCAGCCATCTTGGATCTCTCTCGCTCATCCATATTTGTTTACTTTTTAAGAGGTGCCTCTTGCTGCCCTAAATAAAAGTGGAGTCACCTAGGAAGGCAGAAATGGAGAATGGAGTGGCTGGTCCACCCGTGCCACCAAGACAGACTGAAAGTTCCGTGAAGTGGGGCCACGCCTTCTCTTCTGGGTCAGGCTCGGATTTTGGAATCCTGTGTTCAGTAAACAGCTACTGAGGAGCTGTGTTTTTTTCCTTGTCAAACCACAGCATTAAAGAGATGAACCAGGCCAGGCATGGTGGCTCATGCCTATAATCCCAGCACTCAGAGCTGAGGCCGGTGGATCACGAGGTCAAGAGATTGATCCCATCCTGGCCAACATGATGAAACCCCATCTCTACTAAAAATACAAAAATTAGCTGGGTGTGGTGGTGTGTGCCTATAGTCCCAACTACTCAGGAGGCTGAAGCAGGAGAATTGCTTGAATCAAGGAGGTAGAGGTTGCAGTGAGCCAAGATTGCGCCACTGCACTCCAGCCTGGTGACAGAGCAAGACTCTGTCTCAAAAAAAAAAAAAAGAGCTTTTTTTGTTGTTGTTGCCACCTTTCTTGTCCTGTAGAGGCTCACTAAGGCTGGGAGAGAGGTCGCCCAGAAAACTGTGACATGTCAGGTTCCGCACAGGTGGACACAGAAGAGGCCGTAGAGGCACAGAAACTGCATCCTGCATCCTTGCATCCTCCTAGCTCCAGGCATCCTTCTTGAGAGAAAGGAGGCAGCTCCACAGAGAGGGGCCTTGAGCTGTAAGCAGGAAACAGAGAAGGCAGGTGATGAGGTCGGCACGGCCCAAGGCGTGGAGATGAGCACGGACACCCCCTATTCAGGAACTCATAATAGTGGGGCAGAGTTGCAATCTAAGAAGAGGAGAGGTGAGGAAGAGGGGAGGGCAGCTCAGATAGGAGAGAAGGAAACCCAGCTGTGAAGGGCCTCAGAGGTCACACCAAGAAGTTGACATTTTCCTGTAGCAGTCATCAACGGGGAGTCAGCTGAAGGGCAATAAGATCAGATTTGTGAGCTTCTTTGTTTTTGCTTTACTTGGTTTTGTTTTTGAGGCAGGGTCTCACTTGTCTCACTCCCAAGCTGGAGTGCAGTGTCACAATCACAACTCACTGCAACCTCAACCTCCCAGGCTCAAGCAATCCTCCCACCTCAGCCTCCCAAGCAGCCAGGACTACAGGCACTTGCCACCGTGACTAGCTGATTTTTTCTATATTCTGTAAAGATGGGGTCTCACTATGTTGCCCAGGCTTGCAGATTTGGGTTTTAGAAAGGACATTCTGGCAGCAATGGATGGGTCAAGAGATGGAGGCAGGGAGATCACATAGGGGGACATTAAAGCAATCCTAAATCAAGAAGGCCTGAATTTTAATGGAGAGGGAGAAGAGATGGATCCTGAAGACAGAGAGAGAGAGAGAGTACTGAACCACCAGGAAAGATCAGGCACCCGCCTTTCTCTCTGCCTGGAGATCTACTCCTGTCCCTGAGTCCTACCCCTTCCATGCTCCTCTGTCACCACATGCTTTTTCGTCATGCAACAGACCAGACTGAGTGGCTTTACACACACACACACACACACATATATATTGGAGACAGAGTCTTGCTCTGTAACCCAGGCTAGAGTGCAGTGGTGCAATCTTGGTTCACTGCAACCTTCACCTCCCAGGTTCAAGCAATTCACCTGCCTGTATTTTTAGTAGAAACGGGTTTCATGTGTTAGCTAGGATGGTCTCAAACTCCTGACCTCATGATCTGCCAGTCTCGGCCTCCCAAAGTGCTGGGATTACAGGCGCGAGCTATCGTTCCCAGCCCTGAGTGACTCAGGGTGACTCAGGTGACTATCTCTCTCCCCTCTTGGTTGTGAGGCCAGAGTGTGTGTGATTTTGCATCACTGCACCCAGCTCCAGCACCCTGCCCATCATTGCTGATGCGTGGTAGAAACGCAGTGCACATTCACAGGAAGTATGGACCACGCAGTGGTGATGATGTGGCAGAAATAGGGGTAAATGCCATTCTCAGAGCTCAGATTATATCCTACAGGGGCCAGGAAGATGTAGGGAGTTTTATAGAGAGAGGGGAGATGGTCAGCTCTGTCTGCGACTAATCCATCTGGCAGCTGTGGAAGATGTATTTGAATAGGGCAAGACTGGAGAGAGGGGGACCAGTCCAGAGCTAGTTCTAACACTCCAGGCAAGGGAGGAGGAGACCTGAATGTGGAGAGAGGAAGAGGAATAGAAAAGAAGGATCAGCCTGAGAAGTAGCAAGGAGATGGGACTGGTGAGGTCTGATGATCAACTAGAAGACAGTCTATTGGTTGGCTTAGGCAATTGGGTCTACGATGGCATTTGCTGAGACTGGGCAGTGGGTAGGGGGAGGTGCCATAATGAGCTCCTCTTGGGACATGTTGAGGCTAAGATAACTGTGGAGCATTCTAGGGAGAAATGCGATAGGCTAGCTATGTCAGACTGAAGGTCAGGGTGGAGCCTAGGGCTAGAGGTAGAGATCTGAGAGTCATTGGCTCAGAAAGGCAGTGACCACAGTGACATGGGAGACTGAGAGTCACCTGGAAAGTCAATGTCAAGTGAGAAAAACAGTAGCTGAAGGAAAGAGCCATCAAAAGTGCCCACCTTTGAGGGTGTGCAGAAGGAAAGGACCCTTCAAAGAGAGAGAGAGGAGAAAAGGAAACAGGGAAACCAGGACAGAGTGGTGGTGTCAAAGGTGCCAGTGAAGAAAGTTCAGGAAGGGTGAGTAGTCAACAGGGTCAAAATCAACGAGAGACCTAAATGTCTCTGCTGGGTTTGGCCACACAATGGTCACTGGTGACTTTGCCAAAGAAGTTTCCATGGTGCTAGGGTGGAGTCAGGTTGCCTCAGGCTGGGGAACACATCAGGAGAAGAAAGTAGAGGCGGCTCAGTTAGTTAATGGCTGTGCTACAAATGGTATTCCACCTTCTTCCAAAAGGGAGCCCACTGTAAAATAGACATTACAATGATCAAGTAACACAGCATAAAGACCTAGAGCTGTGCCAGGCACACAGTGCTACCCGGTACAGGTTAGGTATATTTGCTTCTTATATTGATAGGCATATATCCAATAATACTGTTACAACAGAAAATTAAAAACCATGTACAGATAAAGACTTGAAAGAATTGGAAGCCAGGATTTGAACACCCATATTCCCAGCAGAATTATTCACGATAGCCAAGAGGTAAAAGTAACCCGGATGTCTATTGATGGATCGATGGATAAACAAAACATGGTATATACATACCATGTCATACTACTTAACCTTTCAAAGGGAAGGAGGGGCCAGGTGCGGTGACTCATGCCTGTAATCCCAGCACTTTGGGAGGCCAAGGTGGGTGGATCACTTGAGGTCAGGAATTCAAGACCAGCCAGCCTGGCCAACTCCTGACCATGGTGAAACCCTGTCTCTACTAAATATACAAAACATAAACTAACCACGAGTGGTGGTACACACCTGTAATCCCAGCTGCTCAGGTGGCTGAGGCAGGAGTATCACTGGAACCAGGGCAGGCGGGAGGTTGCGGTGAGCCGAGATCACATCACTGCACTCCAGCCTAGGTGACAGAGTGAGACTCTGCTCAAATAAACAAACAAACAAACAAGTAAATAACTGGAAGGGAATTCTGGCATATGCTACAGTGGTGAACCTTAAGGATGTTATGCTAAGTGTAATAAGCCAGTCAAGAAAAGCAAACACTGTAATATTCCACATACAGAAGTGCCTAGAGAAATCAAATTCCCAGACACGAAAGTAGAGTGGTGGTTGCCAGGGGCTGAGGAGAGAAGGTAACGGGAGATTATTGTTTAATGGGTATAGGGTTTCAGGTTGGGAAGATTAAAAAACTGTGGGTGAGCACAGTGGCTCATGCCTATAATCCCAGCACTTTGAGAGACCAAGGTGGGTGGATCATGAGGTCAGGAGATCAAGACCATCCTGGCTAACACGGTAAAACCTCCTCTCTATTAAAAATACAAAAAAATTTGCTGGGCATGGTGGCACGCACCCGTAATCCCAGCTACTCGGGAGGCTGAGACCAGAGAATCACTTAAACCCGGGAGGTGGAGGTTGTACTGAGCCGAGATGGTGCTACTGCACTCCAGCCTGAGCGACAGAGCGAGACTCTGTCTCAAAAAAAAAAAAAGTTCTCAAGATGGATAGTGCCGATGGCTGCAGAGCAAAATGAGTGCATTTCACACTGCTGAACTGTACACTTCAGAGTAGTTTTAAAAATACGTGTTATGCTATGTACATTTTACCACAACAAAAAATAAACATGTACAAAGAAAAAGTAAAATATATATTACAATGTGGCCTAATACAATTGCTGGCATGGAGCACGTCATTAGGCCTGAGGTTTCTGCTAACCAAGCTATGAAGAGAGATGTTTGAGTCTGATGTTTAATAGAAGGAAAAATACTGCTGTTTCCAGAGATCTCAGTGTCCACCCCACCCGCAGCCCTGGCCAGGACTCAATTATAGCAGCCGTTTGCCTCGGTGACTTAGACAAGAGGCACTGGACAGCAGGTGGGACAATGCGAAAATCAACAGCCGCCTCACAGAAGGCAAAGGCACATTGGTGGCGTAACCGTTTGTGGTGGTGGTTCTGGAAGAAACGCGAGAGAAAAGTGATGAAACCTGACTCAAGAGCCTTGCTGGTGGGAATGAAGCTGATGAGGGCTGAAGATGAAGATTTCCAGGAAGGAACTTGGAATTCCCAAAACACTTACTCACTTAGTGATTGGGGCCTGTAGGGTTTCCAAAGAGAGGTGTCCTAGAGATTGGGTTAAAGATGGGGGTCCAGATGGTGTCAGCACAGAGATGGTTACCGTAGCCAGCGGTGAGAGCACCCTGTCCAGGAAGAGTGTAGAGCTGCAGGGGGTACTGCTTCATAGACACCCCCACTTCCCAGAGGCCCACCAGGGACTGCAGTGCAGGCAGTAGCTAGGTATTTTTGGTGAGCATGCAGGAGTGAGAACTCATATCTTCTGACTCCCTGTCAAGGGTACTGGCCATTGTCCTGGACACTTCTCTGTTCAGGAGAAGGAACAGGATGCTGGTCATCAGGAGGCCTGGTGGGAATCTCACGGTCACCACCTCCGGCTCCCTGGCTTTGAATAGGTTGCACAGTCGCCCGCAAACTCAGGTTCTTTGTCTCTGGATGGTAATACAAATTTGACAGTTCCTTCCCTGCTTTCCTTATAAGGTTATTGGGAGCAGAAGGGTGGCTTGAGAGGACTTTAGTCTGTGCCCACCTCCTGTTTCCCATATGATTTCAAACAGACATCAGTCCAAGAGCTGCTCCAGAAAACCCCCAGCCTCCTTTCGCTGATCTCAGATCCACCAGTACATACTCTGAACCTGCCCCGTGTTGGGAGATCAACTATAATTAGCCATGTGATAGCAGAATGCCACCTTCAAACCGCTGACACACATGGATGATCATCACTCAGTGCCTCAGAGTCTGTTCTAGCCCTCAAGGCAGCAGTGATACCCTTTGCCAAGCCAGGAAACTTGGGAGGATGGTGTCTGCCATTCAAGCATGTTGCATTTGATGAACCTATGGGCATTTCAGGTGGAGAGACCTGGGTGGTGGCTGCATGTAGAGGCCTGAAATCCCTGGTAGGTCTAGGAAAGAGAGAGAAATTTGATAAGCGTCAATACAGAGATGAAAGTGGAAACCATCAGTGGGACCCTTTCCAAAGAAGCTTGGATGACTTTAATACTGAGATAGCTATTGGGCATCAAGAGGGAGCTGGGGGAAATTCCGACTTGGAGTTTTCTATGAATGCTAGCATTGGCACCACACCCAGTCACCCAAGCCTGGCCTGGGTTGCACCCTCACTACATGTGGCTCCAGGTGCTTGACAGAGGAGAGTCTGCAGAGAGCAGCCTTGCATTAGGTTGGAGGGACTTGCTGGCCAGACTCTTTCAGACACATCGTCTCTTAAAACCTCAGCCTGGATGGCTATGCTCAGCAATCATGTGTTTAAAAAGCAATAAGACTAAATGCTTTCCCATTTCCCCTTTGAGAGACCATGTATGATAAATGATAGGCAATTTCATGGTTGGAGTTTCAATTTCCGAAAATATTAGTGCTATTCCCCAAGCTCCACTTCCGAGATAAATTCCTTTTGGCAGCCTCCTCTGTTGTCTCCTAATTTCCTGATTCTGAATATATTTGGAGGTTTGGTGCAGATTTCATCAGCCCAGTCCCAGCATCTACCTGTCTCCTTTGCTTTGGAAAGGGTGTCACCCACCTTCCACTCTTTCAGGTTCTTTTTATATTTGTTACAAGTCCATGGTTATTTATTAGGTACCTCCTGTGTGCTCCCACTTCCATGTTCAGTATTACAGTGGGTGTAGGGAGCTATAATCAATCATTCGATCAACAAACATCTGGGCCCTTCGAGCTCAAAACCGCACTTCTACAGAGCCTAATATTTCATCCATGCTTCACACTGTCCCCATTTCACCGTGGGGAGAACTGAGGTTCAAAGCTAACCTAGTAAAGTCAGGGCGGACTAGAGTGGTCAGTGGCAAGGTAGGAGAGGGTGAACATTGCGTGGGCATCTACAGGAGGCCAGACTCTGGGATGAATGCTTAACAGCCCTCTGCACAGGAGTTTAAGCTATTTATCTTCACAAAACTCAAGGTAGGTGTCATTATCACCATTTTATGGATGTGGGAACTGAGGCCCAGGAAGGTTAGCCAGCCTGCCCACAGATTCCCTTTCCACTGAGTAACACTGTCTATCCTGATGTCCTGACAGCAGCAGGCTGGATGGAGCCCCCACAGTTATTTCCAAACCATGGAAGTGCCCTTCTTTGAAAACATCAAAGCGCCAAGTCAACCACAGAAAGAGAAAAACCTACCTTTGCACCTCAATCTCCCGTTACTTGGTACTCTCTGCCTGCCCTAGCCCCAGGCTTCTGCTTAAGTTTCCCAACCTGAAGTCCTCAGTGCATCACACACACTCCGGGCCCATTCGCTGCTTCCTCTCATGCTGTTGCCTCCTCGTCAGCAAAGCCCCCGATGTCAACCTTTCCCCTCTAGCCATTCACTCACCCTTTAGACGGGTCATCTCAGGACCAGGATGATGTTTCCTTCTCTCATCATCTCATGGATCCCTAGAAGAAGACTGGGCACAAAGCGGGTATTCCAAAAAGATTGAGGAAAGGATCGAGATGAAATGTGCTGGAGTGGGATTAAATGAGACAAAATCAGTGAGAATAGAGCAAATGGTGTGAACTGGGACAGGATGTGATGGAATAAAAGCAAGAAGGACAGCATGGTACAGATAGAAAGAAGTAGGATGAAAAAAGCAAAGTAGAATGGAACAGAGTAGGAGAGCATGGAACAGACAAAGCGAGTCGAACCACACTGGAACAGGCTGGAACAGAACAGAACAAGATGGGACAGAATGAAACAGGGCAGAGGAGACTAGACCAGGTCAGAACAGAATGGAACAGGACAGAAGAGTCTAGAAGAGGAGGCAGCAGAATCGAATAGGATTCAGTAGACCAGCACAGGGCAGAACAGACGCAAACAGGTCTGAACAGAACAGAGGGCAGCAGGATCACAGGGCTGGAGCCAAACAGTAGGCAACTGGATGAAATAAAATTCACTTCATTCATTCAAGAAATGTTTGTCAAGGGCTACTCTGTGCTAGGTAGGGAACATGGAATAGTCCCTGCCCTCGTAGAACACATTGTCTTGTAAAAGGGACCAAAAAGACATAAGGAATTAACACATGTATGGTTACAAATTATGAGTGTCTGTGAAAGAATAAACAGCTTGCCATGATCACAAATGATGGGATAGAAGAAATAATATGATAACAAGGAAGTCAGGAAGATGCAGCCTAAATGATAAGGTGGAGCCAGAGGCTCTTGAAGAACCAGGGGAGAGCATGCTGGGCAGAAAGAAGAGCATGTACAGAAGCCCTGAGGCAGGAAGGTGTTTGGCCCATGCAGGGAACAGAAAGAAGGTCAGCGGCCGGGCGCGGTGGCTCAAGCCTGTAATCCCAGCACTTTGGGAGGCCGAGGTGGGTGGATCACGAGGTCAAGAGATCGAGACCATCCTGGTCAATATGGTGAAACCCTGTCTCTACTAAAAATACAAAAAATTAGCTGGGCATGGTGGTGCGTGCCTGTAATCCCAGCTACTCAGGAGGCTGAGGCAGGAGAATTGCCTGAACCCAGGAGGCGGAGGTTGCAGTGAGCCAAGATCGCGCCATTGCACTCCAGCCTGGGTAATGAGCGAAAATTCTGTCTAAAAAAAAAAAAAAGAAGGTCAGCATGAACAGCGCCCAGGAAGCAAGGCACAGAGTGACAACGGAGGAGGGGGTGAGCTGGGCAGCGGCCAGATGGCACAGGGCCTGGGGAGTTTATTCTAAGTGCAATGAGGAGCCACTAAAGGGGATGACCCGGGCTGCTGCTGTTCCGTACTTCCTCCTTTGCTGGTGCAGAATGAGTTGGGGCAGGATACCATTTAGGCGTCCACTTCAGACATCCAGGCGGTTAATAAAGGTGGCTTGGAGGCCGGGCACGGTGGCTCAAGCCTGTAATCCCAGCACTTTGGGAGGCCGAGGCGGGTGGATCACGAGGTCGAGAGATCGAGACCAACCTGGTCAACATGGTGAGACCCCGTCTCTACTAAAAATACAAAAAATTAGCTGGGCACGGTGGCGTGTGCCTGTAATCCCAGCTACTCGGGAGGCTGAGGCAGGAGAATTGCCTGAACCCAGGAGGCGGAGGTTGCGGTGAGCCGAGATCGCGCCATTGCACTCCAGCCTGGGTAACAAGAGCGAAACTCCGTCTCAAAAAAAAAAAAATAAAAATAAAGGTGGCTTGGAGCAGAGTGGCAGTGGGACCAGAGGAAGGAAATGCAGCCAGGTGGAAAAGTGTTCTGAAGGTAAACGCGGCTGGTGAGATTTGCCAATGTTTTGGACACAAGACTGGCAGAATGGGAGGTCTAGAGGAGCTGCTGGGGTTGGTACTTTCATTTCCAAGGATGGGACTAAGGAGAGATGGTTTGGGGAGGAAAATCAAGAGTTTCCTTCTGGAGATGCTCAGGTTCAGATGCTTGGGTGGTATCCAAATGGAGGCGTCATGTAGCTTTGGAGATACAAGCCTGGGGCTGGAGATGTGAAACAGGAAGTTGTCAGCAGGTGGATGCTCAATAATGCCTGGGACTGGATAGGCCTAACTATGCAGCAGTGCAGTGCAGAACTCACCTGGAGTACATTCCATGGACTGATTGCATTGGGATCTTTGGGGTGCTTGTTGAACATGCAAATTTCTGGGCTCTCAAGCCCCCTGAAACAGATGTCTAAAGATGGGGCTCAGGAGTCTATATGTTTGGCAATCACCCCAGAGTGTCTGGATGCCATCTGAGATGTATAGAATACTGGTCTAAGAAAAGAATAGAGGAGGGCAGGGGCCCTATCACTGAGAAATGTGCACATTCGCAGATCAGTGAGGAAAAGCCAGCCAAGGAGACAGAGAGGGGATATGCAGAGAAATAAGGGGGAAGTCAGGAGAGGGTGGTATCTCAGAGGCCAACAGAGTAGGGACAAATCAGGACCAGGTGATCAAGGGAGTCCGTCTGCTAAGCACGATGAGCACAGGGGCTGTGGGACGCAGCCACGTGCACACTTCCAGGGGAATGCTGGGTGAGTCACAGAGAAATAAGACCAGACCGAGTGCAACAGAGGAGCACACTCTAGCAACAAAGTTGGAGAGGGGTTGGGGATTCCAGAATGGACAGCAAGCAAGGACATCATCCCAAATCAGTGGAAATCTTGGGAATAGACCCTCAAACATATTTCACATCAATTTTATCCTGTCTGCTACGGCTCACAGGGTCCTAGGGCAGAGGAGAGCAGGAATGCTGGCAGTCAGCATTCCTTTGCACACACCAGGAGGGCTTCCTTTTCCTGTCTTCCCAGCTCCCAGCTCAGCATCCTCAGGTGACCCTCTCCTCCAGAGAGACTTCACTGCTACGGTTTTCTCAATGTCCCAACACCTTCCCCAGCCATGCCCCAGCCTGTGCCTCTCCTCCTCCACCAGAGCAATTTGCAGGCTACAGCCAATGTGTGTTACCTGTGTGTTCAGTCCTTCCCTCCAAAAAGTGAATTGCTAAGGGCGCACGTTTTTGCACACAGCAGTTGGAGAGGCAAGAGGGCCTTCCAGGTGTGGCACAAATGAGCCTGCCCACCCTGCAAGCAGCTGCCTGGGGGCCACCAAGAGCACTGATTCTCACTGTAGGTAAGGAGATGAGATGAGCATACTTTAAATGACACATTCAACTTCATACAAGACTTTCCTATTCATAAAATGGAAACCAAAAACCTATTGCTTTCATAATGCAAATCTCAAAAAGCAAGCCTGACAACATGGTCTTGTTGGTGGGTCTATCAGGAATAAAAAGGAATTTCCAGGGAAGGACAACCTCCCAGAGGGTCTTTCAAGATCAAAGTTGATGGATGTTATGTACCAAAGGTTAAGTTAGATCGAGACACAGTGACAGAAGGACATACCACCCTTGCTTCGCCCACACTGGAATTGGGTTCTATTGAAAGTGTGCTTCTCCACTCCCAATGCCCCTTGAGGGGCCACACACACCTTGAAAGACCCGAGGAGCCCCTGCCATCCATCCAGAACCAAATTCCTGGCAAAGAGGAGCCCAGAGAGACTTCACAGACATCCCCGAACCTCTCAAGAAGAGTCTGTGGCAGCAGAGGGATTTTCCCCAGGAGAGACAGCGCCTGTTTGTTTTTGAGGCAGAAAGGAGCTGGGAACATCTGCTCCGAGAAGCCACTTGAAAGATAATCAGGCAATGATGTTGGCAAAACAGCTGTGTGGCAGGCGGAGAAGGGGGCAGCCAGGAGCTGGGAGGGTAGGGGGGTGGGAGGAGGGAAGCTGAGCTCTGAGCTGTGAGCAGCACCCAAGAACACTGCTGAGGCCTGGAAAGCCCCTGGAACCCTGGCCCATGCCCAGTAGAGCAGGGAGGAAGCTTCTGTCCAGGTGACAGCAGCTTCCATGGGGAACTCATGGAGAAATGCTGGGTCTAGTCTATTTCCTGCAGGGTGCAACTCAGGTTCCAGGGTGGGGCTGTGATGTCGAATTTTATCTGAGCTCTGTAATACTGGAAAATAATGATTGTTAAAGAAATCCTCCCACCCCTTTGTGTTCCAGGAAAAGGCTTACTGCAATGAAGCATGCTTTCTGTATGACTTATAGAGGACTCCCAGATGCCCCCTTGCTTACCATGACAAGACCAGACTCAGACCATTTAAATTCCCCCTTCTTTGTCTCATAAACAGTTAGCTTGTTTTTGCTCCAGCTGATTAGTTGGAACAAAAGGCACCTTAGCAAAAATTGGGTTAAGCTTCTCTCCTTCACCTAGGCCCCTGGATTTTAACCCACCCTCAGTATGAGCCAGCAGGCCACCTCTCCTAATGCCCCTCCAGAGACAGGCTGGCCTCAGGGTAAAACATTCTCCCGTCTACTGTTCCAGGGTCACTGCCCCCACCACCTCCCTTTCCCATGCCTGTTCTTTCTAGCCTGGTTTGCTCCCTTTTTAAACAAGAAAAGCCCCTTTTTGTCTTACCTCCATGAGGCCTACAGATCTCATAGTCAGAACACCTTCTCTATTGCAACAGTTCCTTTCTACTCTCTGATTCTTTCAAATAAAATCTCTCCCTACCAAAATCTATTTGTTTTTTACTGATCAGGCATGAAGCTTCTCTGAAGCCACCTCTTGCAGGGCAGCTTGCTCCCAGAGCCTGAGATTCCACCACAAGAGCCACTCTTTGGGATTAAGAGCGGAGATGAAATCTCAGAATGTTCCAGAATCTGCCTGCTCCCCATCTACAGGACAAAGGAGCAAAGGCTGAATCAACAAGCTGACCTGGGGAGGAGCTCTGCAGAGTAAGGTCGGACAATCTCCAGGACCAGACAAGGCTGGGGTCCCTCATTTTCCCACGTCAGCCTCAGAGCAGGACAGTGGGGATCCTGGTTGCAGGGTGTCCCTGTGAGCCCTCCAAAAGCAAAGAAAAACCCCAGCAGGGAACCGGGGGACAAGATCCAAGATAGAAAAGCAGCCCGCAGCACTGGAAAAGTTTTCTTCAATCACAGCTTTGAGAACGGATATTTTCAGAGTAAACCAAAACAAACAGCAAAAACACAAAA